TTCAGGTGAAATCTTACTTAACATTTTCTGCTCAGATCATTACCAAAAGCAGAGGAAGATCTGAGCAGAAAGGGAGTTAGCAACGATGGGATCAGCTGTCATTCACTCGAGCGAAAGTTGAATAAATTTTTACAGTCAAAAGTGATGACTTTAATAAAGAGATCTGAGCTCTTATCTGTCTGAAATATAAAATTCTTACCTGTTACCGACTGAGAAAATCACTGACGTTACTGCACATTTCTATCTTGGAAAAAAGATGGAGTGTTGCAGCAGCAAAGTAAGTTCTTCTGTGTACTTGCAATCCAGAAGAGAAGCTCTCCTCAGTGTTTCTGTACGTAATTTGGATGGCATCTCTCGCTCTCTCTGCCACCCTCCTTCCTTCCCTCCCTTCAGCTTAGCCAATGAGTTCTGCTTCACGACTGTGGTTTGACTTTGAAGTTCTAGCTCCCTCTGCTGTCTTATAGACATAGAGACTCTACAGATAGACGGGAGGAATAGCAACTTCAACACAGAGCTATGAAGTTATCTGAAGCACGGCATACACTCGTGCTGCACCGAAGCGTGTACATCAGTGGGAGCACGATAAAGCAAAGAGACAAAATGCAGAAGCAGACCCTAATCCTCTTGTTCTTGCTGAGGCAAAATTTCGGTAGGGCTCACAGAGAATTTTGTCTCATGAACAAAAAGGATGCCAGTATCAGTTTTCTCAATTTTTACATTCCTACACAGACTGATACTGAAATTTCCTTTTATAAGGATCCAGACTGCAACTCCTTAAGTTGTGAAAGGGGGAAGAGGTATACAGTTATGCAGGCAAAGAACTCAGGAGTGTAAGAGTACACAGACAGTGGGAAATAGAGGAAAAGAAGGGTTTGCAGAAGTACCAGTTTTCTTTGATTTTTCCCAAGTCCGTTTCATAAATAAAACAAGGCAGAAATCAGACTTGCAAATTTTTCTTTTGCATTGGAAAAATGCACAAGCAGAATATTTCCAAGGTCTATACTAGAATAACCTGATTTTTGTCTTCACCAAAGGTGGGTTTTAGCTATGTTTTTTAACTAGTCCAGTAGTTAATGCTATTCTGGGGCCTTCTAAAGGTGTGATGAGTAATTATAGCAAATATGTCTTTTTTTTTGTAAACATGTAGCATGTAAACAGAAATCAAACGTGAATTTTTTTTTTAATTTTCATTTGTACTGTATTCTTTCATTCACATTTTCTGGTACCAGCTATTACTGACATGCTCATGTACTTCAAGAACTTCACTGACATCTTTTAACATTAGTTAAATAATCAAAGCAGAAACAGGAATATTGTGGCCTTTCTAGAGTATTTTGGCATTTCTTATATTGTATGATGCTGAGAATTGTAAAACTGGAATCTGCGTAATGAATGGTGTAAGCTGGAGAGTTGACCTTAGTTACTGATTTTTCCTGCAGGGCGTGCCTGAGCTGCTTCTTATGTTGTATTTTCAGGAGCTTTATTTACCAGCTAGTTTGAACCGGCATCTCATATCTCAACATCTCCCTTTACCCAAGCACTCAGAAGGAGACGACCTTGCTGATCTGCTTAGGGAAGAGGACATGAAGTCTATGCTCCAGCTGAGAAGGCATCAGCCCACACGAATTTTGAATCTCTTGCCAGCTCCTTAGGAAGCAGCAGCTTTCAATATTACTAGAAGCCAGAAAAGCTAAAGTGGTTTATTTAGCTGGCCTCTTCACTTCCTTCTTTTCCTTAATTTATTTAGCATGTGTTTATTTGTTTTGCTGTTCAAAGCATTAAAGAAAGTGGAGGAAAGCCACTAGGAAACCGACAAGCCTTTTACTGAGGGGTATTTTGATTTGTGAAGCTGTTCTTGTCCCCCTCAGCTTGCAGCATTCTTCAGCCAACTCGAACTCCATACCTTCCAAACATTTAAAGATATGCTGTGTCACTATTATTTTCTCAATTCAGACATCTGGACAGAGCCTGCAAACTAAAAAATTAGCATCTGCTCTCTTCGTAGTGTCAACAGAGAACAGTTGCTGCACTCTTCCTGAAAGACTGCTCAGGGCTCTGCCCCAAGAGATCAGGAGATGACCCAACCACCAACATGTCGCTATGGCATCTGGGACTTTCTTCTTGATGGATTTTTAGGATGAGCTGCGGTAGCAAGGTTCTGGACATTTTTTGATGAGCTGAGTGGGGCTGCATTAGAGTACTATCACATATGTATTCTTTCCACGTTGTGTCCAAACTGCAGGGTGAAAATGCTCTCTGTTAAGAAGCTGATATGGGAGCAGCACTTGGGTCATTCCAACCCTGCACTAGTTCATGTAGCTGGAACTTCCATGCACACAGCAGCCATGGGGTGTAAGCCAACAGATGTGGCTGCCATGCAGTAGCTGTCCAGATTGTAGCATAGAGGGGACAATACCGGAGCTAGCTTGGATTGAGAACAGTAGCAGCAAGACGAAGATGGATGTGCCTGTTTCCTTATCCTGGTGGGTCTTGTAGGCTTGGTTCAGCATATTGCTGGAAGCACTGTTCTTGTGGAAGTCCTGTAGTCCCAGCCATTGCTAGCTACGTGCTGGTCAGATTGGCTGTTTCTGTTCATATCTGTAGGTTTGCATTCTAGAAACCAGTGCACCAGCCCCTGTTTGCTCTTGATAGGGAATGGAGTAAAGAAGCTGTAGCTGGCATGGCACAGGGTTGTCCTGCTACCCACAGAGCGATAAGAAGGCTTGTTCCCATTCTCTGCCTGTGGCACGTGCTCCAGTGATGGGAAGGCACTGGGGAACTGTCCTGTTTTCTCTGCACTTTAATACATAAGATAGTTGGACTCTGTGGAGGAAATATGTTTCAAGAGGGGTACAGTCCTCACTGCTCTAGCCAAATGACTCCTTGCAGGTGGTGGCAGCAAGACCTCTACAAACATTTCTTGCTTGTAATTAAGCATTTCCCTGGGAGTGGCAGCATCCCCACAGCAGTGGGATTGCAGCTGCATTCTGGATGTTTTGGGGGTCTCCTCCAGTGTTCTTCTATCAAATTTTCAGCCATGTTAGCCTTTGCTGATGGAGCCCTGATGCTCTTTCTTTCCTCTAAGCATGGAATTAGAGGCCAATTCTCCTACAGTACATTTAGTAAATCTAATTGTGGCCCAGCATCTGGAGTCCTGCTTTCTCTGGCACTGTTAAATAGTGAGAAAACACTGTTCACAAAGAATAGTTCTAGGTATTTGATGACAATAACATATGGAGAAAATGTAACTTGAAATAGTCTACATGTATGCTAAGTTTACCAGGTCTACATGGCATCCTTGCAGGTATTTTGCACAAGTTTGGTTTTGCTTTATTTTGTCAGAATCTCTATCTGTCTCTGGAGCGGCCTTCCCCAATTTGTTTATAACCTTCCTTCCATGGGGGGAACTATGAAACTGATGTATCTTCTCAGGGATTTTTCTGATGTTCAGACCTTCAGGAACGTAGCCTGTCACTCAGGTCCCTGTAGGCAGGCCCTTACAATGCATTTAGGAAGCTGATAGCATGATCCTGTATCTCTATCTCTGTCTGATTCCTCATGCAAATAACTGGGTGAAATCCTCTGATTCACCCTCAGCAAGCATAAAAGTGAGGGTACCCGCAGTGTCTCCTGCTCACAGGTTGGAAGTGTCATAGCCAGCTCCAGCGATACATGCTCCATTACTCCCAAGAAGGCACGGGGGATATCATAAAAGGGAGCTAGTACTAGCCAGTCCTAACTAATCCTGAGAGCCAAAGGTTTAAGAAGCTAAAACTGTATTTCTCGTTCTACTTGCTTCCTGGAATCACATTAATCACTTTCTGGTAGTGCCTGGATGGGTTTTCTTCTAACCACTGGTAAGGTGTTTTCCTTAGTATGTGCAGGTTTTCTACTTGTATACTGTCAACACCACACTGGAAAACAGACCACGTGACTGTGGTTTTCCACAACAGATATTAGAAAGAAGTTATTGTTTCCATCAGCTGAAATATTTCAAGGAAGAGAAAAGGCAGATGAAGAAAAAAAGTGTGATGTCAGTGTTGAATAAATTGAATGCATTCAAATGATTTATCTGAGCCTTTTAAGCTGTACAGCCTTCTTGTAATAATTATTCTTAATATTGTTTAAATATGTTTTATAGGATATTTATCACATAACACATTTTCATGGAGTTTGTCCCAGGCACAGCGTAGTGGCTGACATCTACTGGCTAAACATGTTTTATAGTCTAGGTTTTTTGTATAAAAAAACTTTACGGTGTTGTTTGTCAGAGGACTTTGATCTAAACAAGACCATTGCAGGAAATTCTATCCCAGTGTGGAAGGTTACAGAGCTATTTATATGGCATTTCTTTGTAGTAGGTGGAACTCTCAGGCATGGGCTTACCTTTTTTGTAATATACTAGGCATGTTCTGGAGAGTATGTTCCTTTGTGCATCTGGACTTATGGATTGACTTACACAAGGTCAACCCCCAACCAGGGTTGGGGGAGGTTTCAAAGGGCTATTTTCTGCTTTGTTTCATCTCATTCTTCTAATACACGTGTCCTTGGGGGAATGTCAGTGAGTGTAATAGCATAATGAATCCATTTGTCTGGCAACAATTTGTATAATACTTCTTGCTCTAAAAGACAGATGATAGATTTGCAAACCTTTGCAAACATCATGAATTATTCTATTTTCAGCAAGACGCATCAGTGACTACTTAGAAAGAAAAGCAGTGATTTGATATACATGAAAATTTATTTAACTCTGGATCCCAACAGGAAAAAAGTCAAAAGTTTATCTGTGTCAAAACTTAGTTACAAATCTGTATGTAATAAGACAAACCACCGAGTGTCAGAAATCAGATAGATATGGTACAATTAGAGCTGTGAAAGGCATGAGGTGAACCCATTCCTCCTGAAACCCTGTTGTTTTGCTGCTTTCCTCTAAAGGAAAGATCCAGAGCATGTTTAAATTCTGGGGTAGGTGCAGAAGAGGAGAAATACATCACGTAGTCTTAACTAAATCCGTTGTAGATCTTGCAGCTTATCTCAGGATTGGTCTTCTTCACCACTCGGATAGAACAGCTTTTCTTGTGGAATAGGCCAACGCATTTCACCTTGTCATAGGTCTTGGGGATTAAAACCCTGTCATTGAGAAAGGCAAAGAGAAAATCAGCAGCCAAGACATGAACTTAGAAGGATGCTTTCTGAGACCCAGCCATCCTGGAGCAAGAGTTGATACATCATAAATCGATTTGGCTCATGGACTCCATTAATAGAAGTTCTCTGGGTTATCATAGGAGCAATACGGAGCCACTGAACAGAGGAAGCGATCCCCAGTGTTTGTTCAGGTTTAAATGTAGTTTTCACTTGTCATTCTGTTAGGGATTGGTATAAATTCCTGCACAGAGACAAAACAGAGATTAACTCTGTCTTCCCGATTTTCTTGATAATACCAAACCAGTTACAGAGTGCTGAATCATCCCAGCATGAATACCTGCCAGCTGAGCCTCTTAGCACAGATTGACTTCCTCCCTCCTTCCTGAGGCTGAGGACAGCCAGGAGTATTTCTCACCAAGGGTTCCTTGGTTGTATTCTTCCTCAAAGACCCTTAATGGGACTATTTCTCCCTCACCTCAAGAATAATTTTTTGGTCTTTCAGCAAGATAATCGGCTCACAGCTCTCCTGGATGTGTCACTTGCCACCCATGAGGCAGGAACGCGTGACAAGATTTAGAAAGCAAACTACCAGAGAAGGGCATGTTTGTCTTGTTTTGGTATGCAGGAAGGGTGGGCTCTGGGCAGCTTGGGGAGGTTGTGGAGCAGCTCTGGCCTGATTAGCTGGTTGCAGGCAGGCCACCGGTCTGGTGCAAAGCTGCAGAAGCCCAAACATCTGTGTGTTATGGAGTGTTTAAGTATCTGGGGAAAATCTGCTGAATAGAAGGAGGAAGAAAACAGAGGTTAAAGGGAAACATACACCCAGTTAGTGTCAGAATCAAAAGAATGATTAGGTGATGAGGAAGATCTATTTCCTGGAGAGACCCTAAGTATGTTTCTTTTTGTTTCTTCGCAAAGGAGTCTATGTGATTGCCAGACTATTCTGCTGGATCATGATTAGAGCTAACTGGGAAACAGGAAAAGGAATTTTGCTCATGCAAGTATGCAAATCCAGTGCATGCTTTCAGTGAGTTTTTCTAAGCCTGGACATATCAACCAGTTCCTAAGCAAGAAAAAAAAATAATTTGAGTGAACTTACAAGCTGCAGCAAATCATTGCATTCATCTTACACCTGCATTGGTAGCAGTCATCAGTCTTCCACACCGCACCGAAAACATAGAGGTTTCTGTTTGAAAGACACCCTATACATACACATTAGAAAATGAGAGTCCGAAAATCAATATGAATATGTACCATATGACTATGGCATATGCACCATATGAATATGTCAATATGAATATGGACATAGACCGCTTTCTTATGTGTGTGGACTAATCCTCAAAGAACTGCTTTCCATGGAGTCACACCAGGGAAAGAATCTAATCCACTAATTTGCAGAAAAGATACCATATTAATGATCCTGAGATGTGCATGAGTGTACGACATGGCATGATAAAGTGGTAGCAACCCCCTACCAGAGTATTATTCTGTTACTGCAATGGATCTGAAGCCTTAGCTTATAGCAACAGTAATATCTTTCTGCGTTTCTTGTATTCAACATACAAGTCTAGACTTTAATTTCTCCCTTTTCCCCAATCCTTATTAGACTTCAACTTCCTCTGCTAAACAGCATTTAAACACCATCTCTGTTGTCTTTGCTTTGATTGTACTGTCAGGTACACCCCTCAAGTTAATCAATATTGCTGAAAAGTACATGGGGTTTTTTTGCCATATGGGCAAGGACTTCAGTTATACATCAGCCCAGAGGGTGACTACTGAAAAATACAGAGTCTCTGTGTGTGTGTCCAGAGATTCCTTCAAGTGGGATGACCTCTAAGTAGGCAGCTGTTGAGATAATTCCTCAGCAAAGAACATATTATACAACTCCAACATTTTTAAGAAAAAAGGGCTTTGAATCTCTGAATTAATGCTTCAGGGACGTCTAATATATTTGTCACTCTTACCGTATTTGCTGGCTGGTCTAAAGTAACAGCGAGCATCACCTGCAGCTCTTGAGAAGAGAAGGATCAAGGAAAAGAGCAGCAAGAATTTCTAGAAAGGAAACACGATTCTTTAAAATTAGGTGATTTTTTTCAAAGGTCTAGCAGACTAACTTGCACAGAATTAAGGATGAATAAACTCAGAAAAAAATCTGAATAAACTCATATTAAAAAAACGTCCAGCGTACATATACACGCAGACACAGAGACAGACACACACTATAAGCTGCTAACTTACCATACTTGCAGGAGCTGCTCAAATTTCATAATGAGAAGTAGTGTGTATTTATATACAGTAAGGAAACAATGGTCAGTGCAAAGGGAGGTGATGTAAATGTGAGCACCCTGGGTGCCAATGGACACTCTAACCTGTTCCAATCATCGATCAGAAGGTGGCACTTCAACAAGCCTTGCAAAGGCTTGTTTAGCCCACTCACATACATGGGCATCTTGATCTCCATTGTGCTGCTATAAATCTGAAGAGACTTCAGTAGATAGACCAGTTACTCCACATCAGCATTGGTGTCAGCAGAAGAGTCTGGCCCCCAGAAAGCTGTGCCCCCAGAACTGGCAGGCGGTCAAGGAACAGTGGGGAAAGGGCACACGCTAAGCGAGGCAGCAGGGCACTATTGTTCCGCTGACCTGCTGCAAGGAGATCGCCCCCAGGTATGGAACAGGCCATTCATACAGTGCAGTGGTGTGGAGAGTCCACTGTTCTCAGACTGATTTATTATAATTTCAATTATTTTCTATGACACACATTATTTTGCTCACATTTAGCAACCTGCAGGGACTAGCTGTAGTTTTCTGCCCCTCAGTTGCTGAAGCAAGCCAGGCCTGGGAAACAGATGCAAATCACTATGACCAGACAGCACTCTTTTTGGCAGCAAAAGTGAGATGAGATGAGATGAGATGAGATGAGATGAGATGAGCTGTGCGTTGTCTCACTCCAGAAAGAAATGTAAATGGATGGTTGTCACTCATAACTCCCTTCCCCCCAGCAACAACAGTGGTGCTAAGGACTGAGCGAGTCAAAGAACGAAAAAGTTTGAGATTTCTTTTGGTGTATGCATGTCCTACCTCTATCAGAGCTGGAACTGGACACCATGGCAGTGTTGTTTCTGGAGCACCTGCGCTATGAGGACAGGCTGAGGGAGCTGGGGCAGTTCAGCAGAGAAGAGAAGGCTCTGGGGAGACCTTATAACTGCCTTCCAATACCTGAAGGGAATCTATAGGAACGCTGGAGAGAGAATTTTTACAAGAGTGTCCAGCAATATGACAATGGGAAATGGATTTAAATTGAAGGAGAATAGGTTTATACTAGATCTGAGGAAGAAATTCATCATTACAAGAGTCGGGAGACTCTGGAATTGATTGCCCAGAGAGGCTGTGGATGCCTCCTCCCTGGAGATGTTTAAGGCCAGGTTGGATGAGGCCTTGAGCAACCTAATCCAGTTGAGAGGCATCCATGTCCATGGCAGGAAGGTTGGATTAGATGATCTCTAAGGTCCCTTCCAACCTAAGCCATTCTATGATTCTGCAGCACCGAAATAAAGATATTTCTTTCAATACACATCTTGCCATAGGTGTGCAGGTCTTTGTGCCATTAAGCTGTTGCAACACAGACTATGTGAGGCTGCATCTCAAAATTAGTTAGAAAAACTAGCACAGATCCCTGTGGCTGCACCAGTGACTGTAGGGATTCAGTGCTCTACTGAATTGGTACGTAGGTATAATAAGTTTTAAAAGTTACCAGAGGATTCCCAGCATAATGAATTATATTAATTCCATTAGCTTGGCTCTTTCAGCACATCTAGATTTAATTAGACACCTTGATTGGCATTACTGAACTCATTAGCTTCCACTGATTGACAAATATCTAGAGGAAGCACTGGAAGTGGTTTGAGGATAAAATGGGCAGTGACAGAATCTGTGTAGTCTCTTGAGGGATCTGGAGTAAAGGGGTGGCTGTGGAGGAGGCTGCTGCTGTTTGTTGAGACAGAAGATCTGTTTTCTGTAAGTTTTGTTTATATGTTTGTGTGTACTTAGTACCAGGCTTTAGAACTTCTGTTGTACTTGGCATTTATATTTGCAGTGCAGCTGTCAAGTGTTGTGGTAACCTTGTGAGTTTTGGTACATTGTGCTCTGTGTGCGGTTCTGCTGCAGGAATAGTTGTAGTATCTAAAGAATTGCTTTATTGCTTTGAAAATACTCTGCTTCTAGTAATCTTTAAATTAATGAATCCCTATTTGAAGGCAATGATTTAGTCAAGATTACTTTGTTAGCAATTAGAGGCAACAAAGTGAAAATATAACATAGCTTGTACGCTATTAAGCCTGTAAGTATGGGATGTGAATTTTTTTAATTGAAACCATTCGATGAGAGTCTAATGTATCCAGAGGTCAGACCTACTTCTGCCTTGCCCTTGCTGTAACTCTTGACAAATCCTGTGCTGTTTCTTGAGGAGAGATAAACATTGTAGAATATAATGTCTCTAATAAGGATATAGATGGAAGGAAATGTAACAAGCAACTTCTGCTCTGAAGGGCATGGTGGATTCCAAATTATTCTCTTAAGATGATTAGTTTACTTAATTAGTTAACTATCCATTCTTCCTTGAAGAGTACTAGCCACATTAATAACCTTCTTATAATTCTTAGTGTTTCTCAGGTAGACGAACGTATAAAATACACATACAAAATAAGAAACTGAAATGTAGTGTGACTAAGGCCGTTGCTGCCAAAAATGCCTGGTAGCTATACCTCCTTAACCCGAAGCATATATTAAAGCATGCTGTGTGTGGTTTCTCTTTTAAAAAAAAAGTAGCATCTTCTGTTGCAAACTTGAGAATGAACAAACCAAATGCTTATGAAATTCTGTAATATTAGAGTTGTCTGTGGGAACTGTAGCAGAGCAGAAGCTAATCCAGTCTCTGTTCATGTTCCTGCCGACCTGCTTGGAGCTTTCTTCTTGAGACAAGGTTTTCCATGTCAAATGGGTAACAAAGGAGTAAAGAGGGTTCTCTGTCGTGAACATGCAAATGAAGTTACCTTCTGGGACTGCAGGGTTAAATATGTGTTCTCCGGGGGTTCCTCTCTTAAGGGACAGTTAAGTTGTGCTAGCTTAGCTCATGGCTGTGGTGCATGAGAAGGCTGAGTACCTCCGAGACATGGAAACTATGGCAGCTTGCTTCTTTCCCCCTGCACCTTCCCTCTTGGGGTCTGTTGTGCTCAGAGTCCTTGCAGCCCAGCTCTAGACGTACTGACTTAAGGCAAACATTTTTCTTCACTGGCTGTGGGGCTATGACAACAGTTAATTTATGGGTCTTCTCAGCCTGAGGTCTGTGAAGCAATGAGAGGAATATCCAATGCTGCTTTTCCCTGTTTATCGAGCTCCTATGGCTGTTGCCAAAATTGCCTTTGGAAGCTGCCAACGTAAACCAGTCAAATAACGTAATGGCTTGGCTAAAATAGTAACTGTGCCAAGCCAAGGAGGCAATTCTGCCCTTCAAAGCTTTCTGCAATTGGAAGGATTTTGAGTTTTCTGAGGGGATGCCTGGATTTGGAAGGTCTGGGCTGAGGACTGTCACATCAGAGCAGTGCCTGGATAGTGGCTCCAGATCACCAAGGCTCTGACTAGGGTATTAATTCCATAACTGATTCCCTCTGCAGGAAATGTTCAAGATTGATTTCTTGATGCTTTTAGCTTAAACAAATATAGCCTGCCCAAATCCTCTCCCTAATGGAAGCTTTAAAAAGACATTTTTCTATTAACTCTCCCTTTCTTTTCCCTTAAATTCCCACCTCTACTGGTCTAAGGCAGATGGCACTTGGGTCTTTTGTACATGTGTGGGTTTTCTTTATTTTAAACTTGAGCTACTTCAAGTTGTTTAGCCTATGTGCCTGTCCCCCTCTGTCCATCTTGACTGTCTCTAAGGGCTCTCCTTTGAAACAAAAATGAGTTCTCTACTTGCTGCTCATGCAGAAGGCCTGACTTTTTTTTCTTTAACCTGTTCAGCAAAATGACATAGCACCTAGGTGGTGTAACACCTCCAATGTTGTTTTTTTCCTTCTTTCAGTACTAGGATTACAGAGCGGGTAGTTCTGGTATGAATCCACAAATTTATTTAGATCCCAAGGTCCCACTTGCCTTCATTAGGAACTATCCCTCACGTAAACCCTGAGTCCAAGGCCAGAGTGGCTCCCTTTTGTCTTGTTGGCTGTGCTACACCCCTGAAATTTCTCTGCTTCTTTCTTCCCATCTCCTGTAGAACCCTCTGCAGAGCACAGGGAACCTCAGCTGGCACAGGCACATGCGTATGTCTGAGCTGGCATGACATGAAGAGACAGTTAATGGCCATACTTGGATGACAGTGTCCCTGGGTCAGTGCTCGGGGCTGGATGAACTGGGCTGTGCCAGGCTGAAATAGCAGCATCTGTCTTCCTGTTAGACAGAAAAAAACCCAACACTGTATGAATTATTACATCTGTTACTATCTTTGGTATAAGTTAGCTTTAATGACCATATAGAAGGCCTGCATGTGCCAGTGATATCACAGTGCAGATGGCAGAGAAAAACAAGGTTAAATATTTTTCTCTCTCTCTCTGACCTACTGAATGAGAGTTCTGAGTTATTTCGGCAGTGCAGGCCTGCAGGTAGCTGACCATGGCCACGGCTTGCCTTTGTCCAGAGGAGTACTTTACTTCTCTTCTTGAGGGGGTTTCAATTAGGGTGTGGGATCAGCAGTCACTGCTCATGAATTTCTGGACCTTACTCTCTCATCCCAAAGACAACAAGCAGCCCAAATCCCTGAAATGCTGCTATTCCTCCAGGAGACTCGGAGTAGGGTTTGGTGTCTGTGGGAGCAGATGGAAACAGCCCTGTGCTGGCCCTGAATTCCTCTGTGGGAACTAGTAATGGCAGCTTGGGGAAGATTCCTTGATTCTCTTGAGCACTTCAGAGCTGAAGTGAGCCTTTTAGCCTCTTGGGTGTGACTTGCTCTGCATGTGACAAGTGACTACACCAGCACTACCATAAAGTACTCCAGAATGGCTGGACTTTGAAGATCTTCCTTTTAAGCTAATGCCACCAGCCCTCACTTTCACTACCACTCTGCTCCTGTGTGAGTCTCTTCCACCCTAGCCAAATTCTAAGAGAGAAGAGCTACTCCTAAGCTGAGCCTCTGCTAGCTACATGGTATCTAGCTAGGAACATAAAAATCAATAAATATTTAATAGCTCTCCTTGCGTGAAGCAGGAGGATCTTGGTCTGTCTAGCAGAGTGGATCCCTATAGGTTTTGTTTGTTGGTTTTTTAAGTTTTTTTTCCTCCCTGCTCCTAGTCCCCATTGGATCCATTCATCTAATGACAGTTCTGTCTTGAATCAGCTATTCCTGAAAATACAGGTTTCTCACTAAGAGGGCTTAAATGTGTTTCCTTTAAGTGACAGAGGACGGCAGACAGCCCTAGGGTAGTGGTGATGGATGTCTACCTGATGATTCGCCGTCACAAGACAATAATCTTCACTGAGGCCACAGAGACAACTGTGCATGAGCTGAAAAAGGTGGTGGGAGGGAATACTGAAGAGGCCCCCAGAGGAGCAGCAGCCCTACAAAGAAGACCAGCTGCTGGATGATGATCACAGGACTTTGCTAGACTGTGGCTTAAGCAGCCAAATCTGCCGTCCTCATGTTCCAGCCATAGTTGGCTTGGCTTTATTCAGGCTTGGCAATGGCACCTTTGAACCATTGCGTACTGACCTGTTCTCAAGTGCCCCAGACTGACCTGATGCTGTGAAGTCACAGGAGTCTGGTAGCAGCTCTAGTGAGCAAGCCTTGCATTAAAACCAGCATATCCTGTTTTGCCTCTTGCAGATGGAGTGCTGGTCTTGTCTAAGTATCCTGTGTCCATTTACACCCTTCCAAATGTGTCTATCATCTGGCCAATAAAGCATTGCAATTCAATTATATGATATCTGTGTGCTGTACTGTCCAGGCAGCCAACAGAAGTGTTTCCTGGGATCTTTCTCCCAAATTAGTGCTGGAGGAGAAGGGTGGCAGTAACTGGTTACATGTGCACCTCCTGAATTGTAAACAGCATATTCTGCTGTTTGTGTTTCTTCTAGCTGATGCCCAACTCCGAGATGCTATTTGTTGTTCCCTGTTTGTTGGCTTTTTTCTTTTTTTTGGGGGGGGAGGAAACTGTGGCACAGATTAACTTGATAAAAAAGCATTTGTTTATCTGTCTTTTTCTTGATTCCTGACAGTAGTGTCTCTGAGGAGTTTGGCTGGAAATGTTGAGGGACAGAGGAACTTCTGGTATTACTTGTAACAAAATCTTTAGGAAGACTATAATCTTAAGACCTGAGCAAACGTAAGGTTAGCAAATGGAGCTTATTATCTTCAAAATTAAGGAATGCTGCATTAATACAATGCACATCAATTAATTTCGAAAGTTGACATTAAGTACAACTGTTGGAGTGAACTGCTGAAAACCTCTATCAACTGGAAAAAGACTTTTCTTCAAAGGATTAGGAATTTACTTTCTTGCATCTGCTATCTCCATTCTCAAAAGGCAAGGAAAATACAGGGGCAAAAGGGCAGTATAGCCAAAAACTGACATAATAAAACTGCATTTTGAGAGTTCTGTAAGAAAGAAGTTGTTTACCACAAGCTTTAATGCATGAGATGGATCCTATTGATGCTTCTACAGCTAAGAAAGCTTATGAAATTATTTTTTTTTCCAAATAGAATTGACCCCAGCACTATATTTTTCTATGAGCTGGCCTATTTCATAATCACTTAGACTTTCCCTTTTATCCCTAGAGATGTTTTTACATGCCACCACATCTGACTCAATTCACACTGCTGTGCTGCAAGGGGAAACTCCTGTTTCTTCTCTGTCAACAGCTGGAGGTGCTAATGTATCTGTTTCCTGAATGAAACTCTGAAATAGTATTATTGCTAGGTTTTGCTTCCCCTGTATCAAGGGCAATTCAAGCATGCCAGTCTATGTCCAAGTTCAAAAAAACCCACATTTAAAACTACTCAGTCCTATCTATGATACTTACTTGGATACACACTAAACATACAGCACTTTTAAAGTGTCATTTACATTCTTAAACCTCACTGGAGCAAACAGAAATTGAGCTTAAATTTGCCAACTGATTCAGGTTCTAGACTATTTTTTTTTTAGTGTTCTCTCTAGCTCTGACTTACCCATTCATTCCTTCCAGCACAGGAGCACTGTGACAGCACTGGGATGTCACCTAATGACTAGTGAATTTGTGCAAGAGGAAAAAAGAGAGCAGTCCTGGGGAGAAGGATTTGCATGTGTTGGTGGATGATAAGATCAACGTGAGCCAATGGTGTGTGCTTGTGGCCTAGAAAGCCAACCGTATCCTGGCACATATCAAGAGATGAGTGACCAGCAGGTCAAGGGAGGTGATTCTGCCCCTCTACTCTGTCCTTGTGAGACCCCACCTGGAGTACTGCATCCAGATCTGGACCCCCCAACACAAGAAACACATTGAGCTGTTGGAGTGAGTCCAGAGGAGGGCTAACAAGATGGTCAGAGGACTGGAACACCTCTCCTATGAGGACAGACTGAGAGAGTTAGACTTTTTCAGCCTGGAAAAGAGAAGGCCCTGAAGGAGCCTACCTGAAGGAGGCCTACAAGAAGGCTGGGGCAGGACTTTTTACAGGGGCCTCTAGTGATAGGACGAGCGGTAATGGGTGGAAGCTGGAAGAGTGTAGGTTTAGCCTAGATATAAGGAAGAAGTTCTTTACCCTGAGGGTGGTGAGGCACTGGAACAGGTTGCCCAGGGAGCCTGTGGATGCTCCATCCCTGAAAGTGTTCAAGGCCAGGCTGGACGGAACACTGAGCAACCTGATCTAGTGGGAGATGTCCCTGCCATGGCAGGGAAGTTGGAACTAGATCTTTAAGGTCCCCTCCAACCCAAATTGTTCTAGGATACTATAAGATCAAACCAAACAAAAAAACTCAGCAATAACAGAAAAAGAAAGTTCTAGAGCTGTCACATCTGTACATACTTAAGTTGGGTGTTATTTTTAAGACTGGGGCAAAAATCTTAATGGAAACAAAGCCTGAATGGATAAAAAAACGTTGAGTTTTAGGTGATAAACCCTGTTTAACAGAAACATTTCTATTAGGTTTATGCATGGTTCTGGTTCTTGGTTTAAAAGACTTGGTAGTTAGTAGGCTAGGCACTAGTTTTCATTTTTAGGGCAAGAACACCTTTCCAGTATTCAGAAGACTTGCCTTGAGAAGAATTACTGGGAGTAGAGGGCCAGCGATCTGAAACTGCCTTTTTGTAGTATGGCTAGTAGGAGAGCTCTGTGCTATCTGGTGAAGAGAGGGAAACTGGAAGACAAAAGCACACAACCTCTATTGCTCTGCCTGGGCTGTGATGCCTCCCAGAGTTAGGCAGAGTATCTTAAACCTTTAACGTGTCAGGATAATTGAGGAACTTCTGTGAACGTTTCCTTTCCACTATGGGGAGCTAGTGGTGTTACGTTCTAAAGGTTTGAGGATGGAGGAATGTATTCTTTGTATGGGAGTGTAGTTGGGTGTGTTGAAGTAGTGAAATGCCAGAACAAAACATCACTTGGCAAAAGTGGGAGGGGTAAGGCAGAGCTTTGTACACTCTGTCTCTGTTTTGAGGGGCTTGTCATCCTCCCACACCTAGACTCCCTACAGCAGAATGGAATTAAGTCCCTGCTGTGCTTCTGGTGTTCCAAAACTAGATGTGATAGATTACATTGTCTATTTCTATGTCGAAACTTGGAGTAGGCAAGAGAAGAGCAGACTGCTTCCTAGAGGCTCGTTGGGTTAAACATGAAATGAATCTTCCCTGCTTCTGTATTGTGGACAGGGTAGATCCACATATAACAAGATCTGGCAGATGGTGGAGAAAGTGCTTGGATGGACTTAAAATGTGGTTAAATAGGTCTGGATGATGTGGGAGTGCCAGATCAGGCTGACTTTTCTGGAATTTGGGTGCACATGTCTATTTAGCCTTAAAAAGGAAAGTAAATCTTTGGTCACAGCTTACTTAAGACTTCGTGTTCTATATGGTCATGCCTTACAACTGAACCTGGAAGTCTCTTGCAGACAGAAAGACATTCATAGAATGGTTTGGGTTGAAAGAGACCTTTAAAGGTCATCTAGTTCCTCCCCCTCCCCTCTGCCATTGGCAGAAACACCTTCCACTAGATCAGGTTGCTCAAAGCCCCATCCGATCTGACTTTGAATACTTCCAGGAATGGAGCATCCACAACTTCTCTGGGAACCTGTTCCACTGTCTCACTGCCCTCACAGTAAAAAAATTCTTCCTCTAATTTGAATGTACCCTCTTTTAATTTAAACAGGCTCATGGCCCAGCTGTTGATGGGGACAGTGTCTCCCAAGCAGCATCAATGAATGTGGATATGTTGTTTTGTGAGTGGCAACTCTTGATCTTTCCAAGCAGGTGAGAGCGGGAAGGAGAAGCAAAAGAGGCAACTACGTCTGCTTGTAGTCATACTGTCAGCCAGCTTTCCTAAGAAATACATGTGTTTTGTGGTAAGTGAGTTGTGATTGTATAAGCAAGTTTGTGGGTGCAGTTCCAAAATGGCTCTGACCCAACTTCAGCATCCTTGGCAAGTGCTGAAGGGGCTGAGGCTTGTTTTCTGGAACATTGAGTTGTATCAGAACACAGAGAAATGAAATTTTAGTGTTTAAAAAAGGAAGGTGGTCTAGAGGCAAGTAGGAAGCTAACAGCCTGCACATGCACTGGATGAAGCCCATTAAGGATGTGGAGGTAAAGGCAACCTTCAGAAATGCCATCAAAGCACATTGCTTTTTGGTTATCATTATATTCTTAGTTTTTGTATTCTTTTGTTTGTTATATTCCTGAATAGTATTATGAATTCTGGATCTTATTTTTGATTGGTTCTACAAAATAGTTCCTTATCACTAGGGGACATCTAATGGGGGACATCTAATGAAGACAGAAACTAATCATGTGCCTAAATAGTTGTTTGCAAAGCTTGTTCCGCATTAGACTCTAATTGACTGCATAAATATACCATAAGCAGATCCCAGTAGTTTCCAGATATGTGTAGATGTTTAGAAAAAAATTATTCAGGAGTCAGTCTCAGACGAATTTGGAGGTAAGATACAAAATAAATGGGTGTTGTAAAAGACAAGTCGTCAAGCTACCTCTGTACTTGATTGAAATCCCACTGTCTAAAGATAACAAAGGAAGACATATCCTCTGTTCTCAAGCTAGAATTTTGGATGTTAAACTCTGAACTTCTACATACACCATCTTCCTGGGCTTCACAAATGGTGTGGTCCAAGCTGACTGGGACAAAAAACCATGCGGTCTCCAGCTTCCACCACCCTCATTTCAACAGTGATGTGGAGGGAGACAATTCAACTAAAAAGGCTCAAGGGTTTGGGATTTAAGATGATGAGTAAAGAACCAGAGCATCTTGGGTAGAAAAATATATTTTAATTCATCACCACCATTTATGAAGCAGGATAGTGAGAGGAATACATCAATAAATATGATCCAATCTTAAATATGCTTCGCCTCCCCACCCCTCCCATCTTCCTGGCTACCTCCTCCTCCCCATCAGTGCAAGGGAAGGCAGAAGGTGGGGGAAGCTGCCCATCTGGCCATTCCTCAGTGTCCACGAAAAAGAGGGCTCCTCGCAGGCTCTCCTTCATGACGCGTGGTGTTCACCTCACAGGAGATAATTCGCTTTCTCCCCGTGAGTCCCTCAGGGCCACGGATCACTTTGGGTGAGTCCTCCACTGATGCTCAGTCTCTCTCCCCATGTGCATGGTGCTCTACATGTACTGATGCCTCCTGGATGTTCTCGCTGTAGTCAGACCCCCAGCTGGCAGGCAATCACCTTCCTGCCATCTCAACCACCACGGGGCTTCAGGGAAAGGTCCTGCTCTGCTGGCCTTCTCCTCTGGGACTCTTCTCCCCCTCTTTCTTCTAAGGGTGATATTCCTTGGTCTTCCTCTCACCTCCCCCTCCTCTAACAGGAAAGAAACCTCCCCAACATTAAAGACAGGACAGCTCAAAACAAGATGAAACCAAAAGAGAGAAAGGAAAAGAACAACGGGGTCGCTTCTTAAATACCTCGATGGCAGAGGCACTGATTGGCCTGGCCCTGGCCAGAGGCAGGTCCAACTCCTACATAGCGGGGGAGGCTCTCAAAGTTTACCCTTGTTTTTTACAAAAAGCTCCATCAAACTCAAACACATGACAACAAGAACATTGGTTCAGTTACAACCCAATCTTGCATGTGTTTCTGGGCAACTTGTTAACACCTGTGTCTCATTTAAGCATGAGACCTCAAGCAGTGTTGCTCAGGGAAAAATAATTTAAAAAAAAAAATAAATAAAATTTAAAGATCTCTTACCATGTAGTGAAGGGCTCAAGTCCGAGTGACAGTGAAAAACAACACCAGGGAGAGCAAATCTTTCTTGAGTGCATTGGTCATGTCATATGGAAGTAGCTGGAGGCTTCTGTTGCTGTTTCCATCTCTGCAGGCACAAATCCTTTGGTTTGGGTGGTGTTTTTTTTTGGTGATGAGTTTCATGGTGTAATTAAGCACTTGTGGAATCTAGGGTGTTAATTACTAACCCATGGGGAAATGGTGCTGGGGAAAGGGCCGGCGACGTGCTCGCAGGATTCTGGCCCGATTTGCACTGCGGAGTGTTTGGGATTTGCCTGTGATTCCGTGAAGAGGGGGAGCAAGCCTGAAATTACTGCTAAGGATGAGCCTAGGATGAGCCAAAGTTTCATGGCGAATCGTTCTCTGAAATATGGCTTCAAAATAATGTGGGAATTTGAGGCCATATCGAGCATTAGCTGGGGACCTGAAGGTTTAAATCTGCTGCTTTGCACACCCCTTTACTTTGTCCCAGCCTG